CGGCCTCAACTTTTTTTCCCCCACCTTAGCAGCCGCAGCGAGCGCGCCAAACCTCGGCTGGCCCCGCGCCACCCCGCGTGCCTTCTTGCGCTTTGTCTTTTCCGCTCGGCGGCCGCGGGGAAGAGAAGCGCGCGGGACTGGAGGCAGCGCGAGCTCCTTTCGAGATGGGTTTGATGATGTAATCGCAAGTCAGTGAGCGATGAAATTCAACACCCGAGCCGCGGTGGGGTGGATTTGCTTTGCTTTGGGGTTGGCTGCTCGCTCCGCTCCAAAGCCAGAAGCTCTTGCCTTTCAGCACCGAATCCCTGCGCTATTGCCACTCAGGACGCTGCAAAGAGCAATCTGAAATCTCTTCGCTGCTGCTATACTGGTACGTCTCCCTTTAGTTAATCTGTTAGTCGCTGCTGTGTAAAATATTTTCCGTATACCCCGCCCACTTTTATACCCCGCGGGGGGGCATGCGGGGTAGGTAAAAACGCACATTGCCCGCGGGTTATATGCGTGAAAATACGGTAATACTACAGCACAAAAACGTGCCCTTAGATTTCATCTCTGAATTAATAAACACAAAAATTATATGCTTAGGCTGGATTCACATGCTTTGCTTAACATAATGTGGTCAGCTTAGTGTTGGTTTAGCAGGTGATGTGTCCAGACAGTTTACTTTCTAAACCACAGTTTATAGCTTCGGGGATTATACAGACCTTACCTACCCAATTAATGAGGATTGAACAAGCTGTGGTTTCACCCAAATATGCCAACCAGGCCTTGATATTATTCAAATAATCACGCACAGACATGGGACTCTCTGATTATAAATGACAGATGTTAAAACAATGTTCCTTGCAGATAAAACAGTCAATATACTTGCCTGTATGGACTGACACAATCTTAAAAATGGTTCAGACAGCTCTTCACTTTCAGGCACAGACAGCAGTTGTTCAAAACAGCTCCTGAAATAATCAGGTTGTTAGAAAGACAGGAAGTCACAACTGTTGTTGAATCATTTTGTACTTTGCTTTTTGGTCAAACCAAGCCAAAAAGATATACAAGCAAGCTAAGAATTCAAGGACTTTTTACTTAGCAAAAATATAATCTGAAACTTTGTTTTAGTAATCTGTGTATAAAGAACATGCCTCCCCACAATTAGACTGGTTGTGGGAAGGCATCTTCTTTATTCACAAAATGCATATTCAGTACTAAAGGATGACACTTCACAACCTGCTACATTTGTGTAACAACATCATTTGTGCGATGGCATTATAGCACAATGTAAATCACTGTGGAAATCTGGCCCGTTGCATGAAAAATCCATAATGCTGAGCTCCATTAATTTGAGGTTTCAGTATAACGACATAACTCCTATTGATACACAGACACACACCTTTATTTTCATGAGCAAATAAAAATAAAAATCAAGATTCTTGGTAACTATTCTTATATATTAGCATCAATGTAGGATTCTTTAAAAAAAAAAACCTCCTGATTATGACTTTCCACAATTCTTCCTCCTAAGATTCTTAGGATCCCATGGACATCATTCAAAGTTTTTTTTTTTTAAATTCCACGTAGGATATGTAATTTGGTGCCTTTCAGATGTTTTGGACTGCAATTCCTACAACAGACACCCCATTGGGGCCAGAACAGTTGGAGGGTACCATACTGTCTAGAAATAAAATAGGCCACAGGTAACATATAAGAAGATTTTACCACCACACAGCAAAATGTCAATTAAAACAGAATGCCTGGAACCAAACGTACATTACTAGCCTGCCAAGTACCAGAAGAACGTCTTCACATTCTGTAGTCAAGTAAGGTCGGGCACTGGCAAAACTCTGAATGGCAACTCGATAGACTTCCAAAAAAGGCAAAACTTGCTCCGAAGTACCCTGATCGCCAGCATATTGTAGCAAGGTCTAAAAACAAAAACAGATCAGAAAAGAATTTTGGTTATCAGCTGGAAATTTGAAAACTCTGGCTGCCAAGCAATACTGGGTTCTATAGTAACACACTGAGGGAATTAGACATTTTGAGTTGTTTTAAAAGCCAAAAAAACAAAACAAAACCGAAAGTGGTGTTTATTTTTTGAAAAGGTAAATCTTGAAAGAGCTCTGTGGACGCAGAAGCAGCTTATGAATTAGAAAATCTTCGTTTGTAGCCTACTGGAATCACAGGACCTGCTTTCTGAATCATGGTAATGTGATGTAACGGGACTATAACGTTACAACTGTATTTTCAGAAAATGTTTTAGCTTGCTTAAAATATATGTATTTCACATGTACAGTCACATCCGCTGACACAAAATAAACAATGTTTTTTCCCCAACATACTGGTCAATTTCACAAACCGTACAAAATGTGCTTCCCCCTCAATATAACACAACATACAGCCATTCATGTCTAAACTGCTGGCAAGATATACTTAAATATTTAAAAAATGTAAAAAGCATCCATGTTACTGGGAAGGATTTGGACTAAGGTTTCTATATATATATTCTGTATTTCTTTCATTATTGTTCTAGCCTAGTGATACTGTTGGAATGAGATATGGATTATTGTTTTTAAGCAAGGAAAAACTCTTCAAGAAATTTGCTCCTGGATTTCTCATATGACATTTAGATTACAAATTTGAGTTCACACATCTCACTGATGTGTACTGTGGTTTGTTTGTTTTTGGCTTGTTGTGATTTGTGAAATCTAGCCATGACAACTGTAGGTAAGAAAAACCATTGTTTACACTGCTATACAAGCTGCATACTCATTACTTTACATTATAGCCAAGTGTCATTTCTTCAGTGTTGTCACATGAAAAGATATACTTAAATATTTACAAAATGTGAGATGATGTACTCACTTCTGTGATATACTGTATATTTAACCAACTGTATATAAATGTTTTTAATCATGTGTTTCAAATTCGCCGCATCACGTTGCCATCACATGATGTTTCGTGATGTTTTTCCCATTCACGAAGCTGGAATGGGCATAATCTATGTACCATGCATCTGGCCCATGGGCCGCCAGTTTGAGACCCCTGTTTTAAATGACCATAGGGCTGGTTCTCACGCCAAACTAAACAGCTTGGTTTTGGCATTGTACAATGTGTGAATTCATCAATTATCGTTTAGTATTATGTGCAAAGCGGCCTCCACAGATTGCTCAAAACCCAAGTTTAGCCCTTTTATTAAAACTTCAACCCAAATCATGATTATGTTGGAAATTGCCACAACCTAACAAAACCTGAAGATGCCAATGTTTAAGTCTTGATCTTTTCATGTGAGCTGTTTTCACACCTGGGTAGGAAGGGAGAAGTATCAATGCTCTTAGTTTTGTTGGTTGGATTTCCACTTCCATTTCAGATTGTATCATATAAGAAAATAATGTTTTCTGCTACCTCCCATGACTTATATCATTACCTCGGTTCTGCCCACAAGGAGGAATACTTCAACGCAAAAACAGGTGGTGTTGGAATTGCACACCAGATTACAGCTACCTTATGAATGGAAAGCATTAATGAGCCTTTCTACGTTGCTTTGAGTGCTCAAATGTGTCCTACTTATGTTCTCCTGCTAATTCGTACATTACTCTGCAAGATACATCAGCATATTTGCCACACTCTACATGAATCCATCAAACCTTGGAAAGCAATACGGCTAAGTCGTTCTTTGTAAGCATGTTCTGTAAACAGAATTTAAATGGCATGCTTTATATGTTGTGCCCTGCACTGGGAATATACGTACAATTCTTTAAAATGCCAGTCTGCCGTAGCTAAAGGGATCTGGGATTTCATTTTTCTCAAGTGACTAGTGCAAATAGTAAACCAGTCAGAAGTGAAAAACAGTTGCAATGTTATTAAGAATGTGTGAGGATCTGTGGTCAAAAACCCAAAAGCACAGACTCCTGAAATTCATTTGAAGTAGCTGGATCCAAGAGCTGACCAAAGACTATGATGTAATGAGTTGGGAAAATTCAGGAATTTCCAGGTATGTCAAGCCATCTAGGAAAACTGAAGCTGCACATAATATAGTGCCTTTCATCACAATGAGCATCAGTGAATTGTAGAAGTTACTGCAATTTCTTATTGCTACTTAACTTAATAGTTGAATTCTTTGCTTGATTAGCTGGAAGGATAAGTTAAATGAAGCTTGGGTAAAGCGAGGTGCTCACGTTTGCCCTTTTCCTGCCTTTTTAAACCAAAGCACTTTTCCCTGAATTCTCAAATGTCAAAGCTGGAATACCTAGAAATAGCTGAACTGCTTAAAGGCGAGAAATAGAATGGCTGAAGAAACTCAATCTCATGGTTTAAATACCAAATTATGTTGAATCCAGAGAAACAGTTATACTCGGCAAAAGGCAGCATAGCTTGAACTTCACCAAGCCATTTGAGAGTTAAGATTAATTAGAAACAGGAACAGAGAATCTGACTGTATGAGACACCTGCTATACTCTCAACTCTAAATCTAATAGGTTTTCGTCTATTGTGTTAGAGGCAAAAATCTAAAATTATGTTTTTTTAAAGTAGCTGTACAGCGCACTTATTACACAAGGGGAATTCCAAAGACAGTCAAAGGAGTTTGTCTTCTGAATTATGGACACAACACCAGCACTTCAGTAAATTAATCCTACTCAATCAAATTATTTTAAATTAGAAATCTACCCTGTTTCCCTGAAAATAAGCCCTCCCTGGATAATAAGCCCAACCGGGCTTTTGAATGCATGGGCTAAAATAAGCCCTCCCGGAAAATATTGCAACAAAGCAGCAGCCATGAGGTGACCACACTTGGTGTCTCCTACACCTCAAAAATAATAAGATTGCCCCCAAAATAAGGCCAAGCACTTATTTGGGGGGGGGGGGAAATAAGACCATATTATTTTTGGGAAAACATGGTATTTTATTTATTTGTAAATATGTTATGATGCTTTGTAGGTATTCCCCAAATATTGAGAAAAAAAATAAAATATTAGGAAGCTAGTGAAAACAGAGGTCCATTTTACAACATTTGTCCAGAAATTACTTACTAAACCACTCTGTCAACATACAGAATCAAATATAAACTTGAAGAGTTCTATTCTAAAGTTCTTCACCTTTGCAGTGTGCACTTTGACCAGCCTCCCTGGGCAATGATAATGTCCGAGTCTCACAGGTCTGGTAAAGCAAATTACATTGACTCCCACCACACAAACTGTATATACATATGTAGAAAGGACTTTTCTAGCCTTCCTTTTCTCTCCTCCTCCTGCTGAACTGGAGGAGGATAAACCAGTATCTTTCACTTTAGCAAAATCTTAAGTTTAAATTATAGCTCTAGTGAACATCTAGTGGTCAATTCCAAATCTAGAAACACTGTCAATTTATTGACTGTGTTCTGGCTTTTTCTGGACACAAAGGAGATTCAGGAAAGAGACTGGACAAACATCGCATCCATGTAGGATCTATGCAAATACGAAACAAGATCCATACAGCTAGAATGAATCACAGGCCAAGTACTAAAGCCTTTAGAATAAATAACCCCTACAAAAGAGTAAATAAACATAAGTAAGTGTAAGTGGAACGGTCATAAATTCTTCCCTTGTTTAGCTTTTACTTCCTTCCTTCCTTATATCCATTTTAAGACTAATCTCTTTGGACTAGATAGAGCCATATGAAAAATAATAAGCAGGTATATAAATAATGTGATCTGTTAATAAAATAGACATTAACAATATTCAAAGTACTTGTCGGAATTGCAAATGTGAAGAATTCAGGTGATAATCACATCAAACATTGTGCTTAACCTAACTGAGTCAACTATTTGGACAATATTTTGAATCAGAATCTAATGGAAGGGATTGGGTTCATTTTTGGCCATAAAGGTTGACCAATTTTAAAACAAATCAGACTTAGAATGCCATTTAAAAACAGTAATTAGTTTATAATTGATCTGGCTTGGTATATAATGTGAGCATAACCATTGGGAGCTATATTTTACAACTTTTAATTTCACTTCTATATACTACCTGTTCCTAAGCATCCAGAAATTTAGGTTTCTCTCCTTTTGGCAGATAATCTTACAAATACAGTAACCAATTTAATTGTATTTAAGTACAATGACAATAAAGATAATACTCATACTTTAACCATTCAATCGTGTCTGACTCTTGTTAATTTTATAGACAAATGCTGTGCATGCTACCCTATCAAGCACAGCTTCTTTCAGTCATTGGATGTTTCCCTTTCTATCAACTGCAATGGTATCAAACCAGCAAGTTCTTTGTTGCCCCTTCTTCTTGATCCATTAACCATTCTTAGCAATACTGGCTTCTCCAATGAATTTGCATATGTGACATGGATTATTTGTAAATAAAGTTTACAAATAAGCAGCCAAATTTTGGGATTGCGCTTGTAGGATCCATTGGAATATTTTAGAGAAACTGTGGTCTTACTTATAAATAGCTTATTATATTCTAGATGTTCCCACTGCATTTTAATATCTACGTAAAATAGTTATTCTGTATGTTGTTCAATAAATATCTGCATAAAATAATTATTCTATTATATGTTGTTCAATAAAAACAGCAGATAGATTTTTAAACTCAACTAGGAATCCTTAACAGACTCCCAATTCTACTCAAAGCTAATGGGAGCAGGTGGACTTTCTTGACACTACAGAATAATAGATACCATTTGTAAACTTCTCTAAAAGGTCAGCAATTTCACTGTCATCACATTTCTATTAGTCTCCAGTCCAATGAAGTTTTTGACTGAAAACTCACACATATTAATATAAAAACCTCTTTCACCCTCCAATCCTTTCTAGGCTCGCCCTTCGCTTGTAAATACAGTTAAGGTAAATCTTGTTATCTGAAAAGTTTACAAACTAGAAGAAGCAGGTCAAGTAATCCAAGCTATGTAGGCATTGACTTTGAAATTATTCAGCAACAAAGTAACATTTGTTTATATTTTTGCATACATAAACTGTTCACATTTTCAGTATCATACTATTTTTCTGTAAGTCATAGAGATCATACCTGGACTGCCAAAATTAGCATGAAGAAAAAGAATGCAAACCCATTTTCTTATTAAAAAAATTAAATCTCCAGAAAAATATTGTACAAAGCTTAATTTACAAATCATTGACAAACATATATTTGAACCCAGATTCCATTATTATTCCACTGACACTAGTTTTGTTCTTATAAGTGTCAACTGCTAGT